ACACAATTTTCCAATAATTTCAAGTTTTAAGTGATTTAAGTTTGATTTAATTTCTCATTCACCAAACAAGGAATTTCCATTTAAATCATTTTAATTGGCTACAACCAATTTCCAATACAAAATTCCAACAATCTAGAGTACATGATTTTTGCTTTACTTTGGGAAGAAATCTCTCTAAATCAATCATAACCCTCGTAGTATCATAACAATACAAAATTACCGAGTTCTATTTTAAGCAACCTTACATTGTTGTCAAAATAAGGTGATGCAATCAGCCAATTTAATTCAATTCAATGTCATATTTATTCGCAATTCAATTGTCAATTTAATTAGGATCGATTACATCATATTCATTTTGACAGAGTTGAGGTTTAATTGTAGGATTTTCATTATTTAACTGAAGTTAACTTAAGTAAATTTTTGGTCTCCTTTTGACTAATATTCTAGAACGAATCAACGATTTATTGATTCATTTAGAATCAATGAGAATTTGATTTCAATCAAATGTCTATCGTTGGTTGAATCAATCAGTATTGACCCGTCGATATTTTGTATTTTATTATAACATAATTGTTGTCTTGCTCACGGTGGGCAAGATAAAACGTGCCTACAGTGCACATGGCAGTGCCACGTCAACAAGTCAAGTCATCATTGTAACGGCTTGACTTGCTCACAGTTGTGGGCACAATAAACTCTTGCCCACCGTTGATAGGAGATAATCCCTGTTTATCATAATTAACCAATTTGAATCCTCTGTATCTTCACATCAATGATCAATGAGTAACTTATTTTACTTACGAAATAAGAAAATAGCATCTAAGCTTAAACCAAAAGAAAGGAGGAACACATAGGAATATCGTTACTACGTAATTAGGTATATGGGGAAGGCAATAACCACACCACTCCTCTGCCAATCCAAGCTCTTCTGTTTCTCGTTTCTCTATCTTTTTTCCTCTCTGTTTTTCGCTCTATATTTCTCTTTTTCTTACACGAAATGCATTTTCAGATCATCTCCCATCTATCCCATTCAAACCCCTCTGTTTTCTCTATCTTTTTTCCTCTCTGTTTTTCGCTCTTTATATCTCTTTTTCTTACACGAAATGCATTTTCAGATCAGCTCCCGTCTATCCCTTTCAAACCCCTCTGTTTTTCTACCCTTCATCTTATGGAGAACATAAATATGGCATTCCTACACTGCGTTCATTCTGCAATTCTCCCGTTTTCTTCTCAGGTAAATGGGAATTCGATTAATGTTTCATCTGAATGCTCGTTGGTTTCGATTCGATTACGGTTTTGAACTATGGGTTTTCGCGTTTTGTTAGATTATTGGGAGGTTTTGAAGGAAATCCAAGAAATATGCAGGAATTCGACGGCAATAGGCTCCGCGTCTTTAAAGTATACGCAGACAAATGCTGATACTTTTGGTGGGAATTTCAGTTTTGAGAATAGATTTTCTTATTTCGATCATCGTGAGGATGGAAGAGAAATCCCGTGTGGATTCTTCAAACGTTTTCCAATCAGTAATTCTGGTTAGTGGTTTTAGTGCTTTATAATTGTCAGAATTTCTTTGTGTGCATAGTTTTCATGAATGAGTGGTGGACGGCACACAATTTGGCGTATACATGCATTTAATTATTCAATAACTTCGCGAGTGGTAGGCGACTGTCAGATCTTCCAATTGATTGGTGTTGAATTACTCTTGGTTTTGTGGTTTTTCAGATCAAACTGCAATGGAAAAATGCGACGGTTTGGTGGTAGTTTCAGCTATATTCAACGACCACGACAAAATCCGGCAGCCAAAAGGCTTAGGATCCAAAACCCTTGATTGTGTATGTTTTTTCATGTTTGTGGATGATGTTACTCTCAAGGGATTAAACCATTACAATTTAATTTCAAGCAAATCCAAGGAGTATAAGATTGGTGCATGGAGAGTCATTAAAGTTTCGAGCAAGCTTTTGTACGAGAATGCTGCAATGAATGGAGCCATACCCAAGTATTTAATCCATAGGCTTTTTCCTAACTCAAGGTACAGCATATGGATTGATGCGAAGCTGCAACTAGTTATCGATCCACTTCTATTGATTCATTCACTAGTTATTAAAAATAATGTCGATATGGCTATATCAAGGCATCCATTTTATATTCATACCATGGAGGAGGCAATGGCAACTGCTAGATGGAAGAAATGGTTGGATGTGGATGCATTGAAGATGCAAATGGAGACATACTGTGAACATGGCTTGCAACCATGGACGCCAACGAAGTCATATCCTACAGGTATTATATTACGTTTAATTATGAACTTAGCGTATGTGTAATGCGTAGCACTAAACATGATTAGACAATATAATAAACATGATTTTAGTTTCTTTTTCTTCTTTTTTCTATATCGTTTAATACTAATATGAATGAATTCACTAGTTTCTTGATCCTTGGTAGTTAGTATTTCATTTTCTATTTGCCAGTTGGATAGTGATCCCTTTTTGTAGTTGGTAAACCAGAAGCAAATGGGATTATTGATTCAAGGTGAAGCCACTTCTAGAAAAGTCATAGCTTGTGAAGTGTGCTAAAGTTTTTCTACCTCCTATGAACAAGTTTTATCTAAAAATTCTTTTAGTCAAACAAAGTATATTTAGAAAATTATTCAAACATGTTCAAGAACAACTTTTTAGTCTCGGAAACAGTTTTTGACTCGTCACAAGGGTATCAAAATTTAAAACAAAAACTTTCGGCCACAATCAATTTCACAATAAGTATGTATGCACTAAACTTCTTTTTGGAGCTGGCTTATTTCAAAAGCTTATGATAATACTTGCAATGATGTACCAAGTAGAAATGTTTAAATCTGATAATTAAGGTGTCTTTTTAAGCTAACTTAAATCTTATGGTCGGGCCCAGATTATTGATTGTGCTATTAAAGCCTATAATCATTACCCTAAATTATAAAAAGATTACTTTTAGTAGAAGATTAATTATTTTCCAACAAATCATATTTGTCTATACATTTTGCAAATATACACTTGTGCCGAACACCATTGGACAAAACAGACAAGAACGTAATCTTCTTTAATATTATCTAATATTTACTAGTCTTCTTATCGAACATGTCATATGTATCTCTGTATTTTGCAGGTGTGCTTTGTAATATGAGCGAATAAAATTTCAACTTTTTCTCGTCTCTAATACTAAGTTTTATGCATTTTGCAGATGTGCCGGATAGTGCTTTAATCTTAAGGAAGCATAGTATGGTCACGAATCTCTTCTCCTGCCTTTTATTCAATGAATTGGAAGCGTTTAACCCAAGGGATCAACTGCCCTTTGCATTTGTGAGAGACCATATGAGTCCAGGGATGAATTTGAACATGTTCGATGTTGAAGTTTTTGAACAAGTGGCAGTGGAATATAGGCATAATCTTAAACCTGGTGGGGCCAATGTGGGGCCCAAGGTTAAGAAGGCAAATTCTGATTTGTTAGCCAATGGTAGTTTTAGCAAATGTGAGAAGTATCTTTCAAATATGTGGGGGTGAATCCCATAATTAATTATGTCTCCTGATCTTTTTTTTTTTTTTGGCACAGAATGAGAGGTGCAAAAGGGGTTAGTAACTAGCTGGGAACCTTTGATAGAAAAAGCTGACAAATTTAACGGGTTGGCGTTGGCGGCAAATTTTAATTGGGAATGAGTAGTTGACTAGACTCATAACATGTTATTTGTTTGGGAGGAATTTTAATTCAATCAAAATTAAAAATATAGTTATTATTGGGTCGCACTCGTCTAATAAAAGTCAACAATAACGACTAATTTTTCAATTTTAATCTGATTTTAATCTTTACCAAACAAGAACATTTTACATAGCAAATTTTAATTTCTAATAATCATTTAACAATTCTCCTCACTTTAGTAGATCATTTTCCAATTGATGTAAGCAATAAACATAAAACTTTACAATTTCTATTAACGCCGCACCGCAATTATATTGTTATTTCATCATGCATCACACTTCATAGTTGCTCCATTCAAACTCATGCATCACATGAGTGTCACATTTGGAGAATAATAAATGTTGTTGGTCAAAGTTGTCGATAAAGTTACAAAATTATAGTAGAAGGTTTTCACGTGATGACTAACGATTAAGCTTGTACAAAGTACTTAAGAAGTCGAGGCTGTCTCGATTGAAACCAATTCAATACTTACTAAAGCATAAACATAGAACCCAAAATTGCAGGTCACCAGTCCAAATATGGCAAATTGTTGGTATAATCGGAAAATAAACTAAGAGGAGAAATAATTAAAAGCAAAAATTAGATTGTACAAGTTCGTGACACATGTCTTACCTACCATCGGGCCCTAATCACATGGGAATTTTGAGTTAAACCGCTGAAGAGGGTAACCATGGAAGGTAGATAACCTACAAGTTGAGTTTCTATTGGACCGCATGAATAAAAAATGAACCATATAATTTATCCACTTGCCTATTTGTCTTCAATTTTCAAACTTTAAGGAAAAAAAGAAAGGAGGGGGAGGAGGGTGGTCATTAAGATTTGAGATTTCATAATAAAAATGTCAATCTTGTTAATAAAAATTATTAATTATTTTATTTTTATTTGACGTGAGATTTATCTATTTTGATCTTTACTTGACATAACGTTGGAGTCTTCTTAAATCTCAACCACCACGTGAATCTAATTCCGTAAACTAGGTTTGAACATACGATTGGCTCGTTCAATTATTAATCAAATAGTATGCTAAATGCGGAATAACTTGACATTTCTTTAAATTTGTAGGCAAAGAGCTCATTTGACAAGTCTTTTGAAAAAGTCAAAAATTACTTTTAAAAGCTACTATTAGGCCTTATTTGATTGCAACGAATTTCATGAAAAATGTCACATTCGAGGAAAACGAATTTCATTTTGACCGTTTGATTGCAACGTGGAAATGGAAATCGAATTCCAAAGTACAATCACTTTAAGCTGCATTTCTTTGTTTTTATGGAAATCGAATTTCTATGAGTTTGGTGAGTTTTTATCTTTCAACTAATATGGAATTGGAATTTTATTCCACATTTGCCTGTCAAACGGACCTTTAGATCTATTTGAATAATTTCGAAAAATTATTTGTTTGATAGGAGGAACTTTTAAAGGAAACGATAAAATTTTTTTTTTTCTCCTCTTTATTTTTGCATTTAACTCCCAACTAATTTTGTTCTTTTTCAATTAAATTCCATCCCCATCCTAAAACCCTTTGCCATTTTTTTCCTCTAAAATTTCCACCCTCGTATCTCTATATATACACCGCTCCCAAACCCAGCGAATCTCCATCAATTCATTACGCACAAAACCCAACCCCATAGTAAGAGGAAAGCCATTTTCCCTTCCCCTTCAAAATGTCGTCACAGCGAATCGCATCCCACCGAGAAAACGCTGAGATATACACCGGCGATGCGATATGCAAACAAAAATCTCGCGAACTACTTGAGAAAATGAATCTCCCAAAAGGGTTGCTCCCTTTAGAAGATATTCTGGAAGTGGGCTACAATGAGAACTCCGGATTCGTTTGGGTGAAGCAGACGAAGAGCAAGGTGCACCAATTCCGTGCAATTGGGCGCAGAGTATCGTATGATACGGAAGTCACGGCGTTCGTTGAGGACCGTAGGATGAGAAAGTTGACAGGTGTCAAGAGCAAGGAGCTTCTGATCTGGATCACCATTTCTGATATCCACATTCAGGATCCCAGTTCTGGAAAAATTACTTTTGGCACTCCTACTGGAATTTCCAAAAATTTTCCGGTGTCGGCATTTGAGGAAGAAGATGAAAAGGTAAAGAGTTGATAAACCAGGAGAATAATTTTCATAATTTAGGGAATAATGGGATGTTTTATGTTACTGGAATTTACGTACGTACTTTTACTATTGAGTACTGTTGTGTTGCTTAAGGTTTAAGCTTAGTAAAATAGTTTTCCTGTTTCAATTCAGTCAATAAAACTTTTTTTCCTTTTCGAAAGCATCCTCGAGTTTCAATTTCATTTCAGTTTGGTATCTAATAATGATTTCTTTGAATCAGCCAAAAATCTGAAGTAAAATTTAAGTCAAAGCAAACAATTAATTTTATCATTCACAGTTTTTCAATCATACGTTCCATCAATTTTTATCAAAATCTTAAAACAAACTAATTTTTATGTAAACCGGGCAAATAAGCCACAAAAAGCGACTTCTTTTGTAGAAAGAAGCAAATCCATACACGCTCTAAAGCAAATCCATACACGCTCTACAGGTGTTGTGATTGTTGTTGTACACTTGACCAACACGGAAGAAATATCTATGGAGCTTTGCCAAGTGGTGTATAACAACATGCCCATACCTTGGAGGGCAAAGATATTCAAACAGGGTGACAATGTGGGAAGAAACAGCTGCATGTGTCAGCACCTGTTTGGATGCTTTTTTTTTTCCAAATTATCGAATCATTGAATTACACATGGTCCACCTATTTTTGAACCTGTCATTGACCCTATTTTTGTAGGAAAACTCATACTTGGAGCGACGATAGGCATGTAATACAAGTGGTTGTTGCCAACCAAGACTTTTTTTGTTTGTTTGCTATAACAATGATGTAATACAGGAAGCTAAATTAGCCATATTAAATAGAACATCAAGAAAAAAGAAGAATGTCCTCCACTGAACAAACCGAAAGTCGAGAAGCAGGTGCTTAGAAGGGTCGACTTTGAGATTTTGGGTGCCCTATGCAACATTTTAAAATGATGCCCTTTTTATGTAATTAAAAAAATTACCGGTACCAATAAAAAATAAAACTAAAAATGGCGCATTTTTCATGTAACAAAAATTTGCCTTTTTAGAATAAAAAATATACAACAATAAATTTTTAGGTGCCCCTACAATACTGATCTTGTGTTGTCGCATCACCTGTTCACTTTCAGGGTCGCCTCTACAATATGCAAATAGACGTCTTGGAATGTGCAGGAGGAATTTGGGGAATAGGCTTAATTTTTTGTGAATAATTGTCTTATTATTTTAAAAAATAGATCAAAATAATTAAATAAAAGCACAAAATTCTTAAAGATAAACTTGCCTCAAAGACCTCAATACTTGAGTAAAAATATCAAATCTATGCGAGATTCATGAAGAAGGAAAGAACGGAATGAATCATTTCTACTTATAAGAAACACTTAATTGCAAGTTGTAATTGAGAGATGTATTACTTAGATTATGATCCAAAAGTATATGAGAGGTTTTCATGAAGAGAAGCAAAGAAAAAAAAATGGAGGAGCAATAATGTAATGTTGAGGACGATGTGTTTACTATTGAGAATTTTGATGGTGAAATCTAGGGATAGGGTTAAAAATTTTGGGCAAATTTTGGAAGAGACGATGTGATGAAAACGTGAGGGAGATTGGTCATTGGACTGATAAGCAAAGTGATTTGGATTTAATGTAGGTGACAAATTACTTTTTATTAATAAAAATCAAATGAAGGTTAAATTAAAGAATCTCCAGAAACTTTGGGGGTGCAAAACCATCCCCTCCGCCCCTGAGGCGAAGGATAATTGAGTGATTAGGGAAGGAAATGAAGGGCACAATCAGTCAATTCTTACTTCTTATAATGAATGGATTGAGGGATTTGGCGTGACCCCAAATATAAACAGGGAGTTGGGTTGGAATGAAAGTTGTTGGAGAAATACTTGGTTGTATTTTCATTCATGATATAACTATTACAATCGGTTGCCTTACATAGAATTACAGAAGAATATTCTATGGAATGAAATATTGTTACAAAAATAATATTTGCAGCCAAGTGCATCTAACGCAGAGGATAGGTTATGTAACGACATTATGGTCCTAAGGAATTGAGCTGGCACTAGGTGAAGGGTCAATAATACCCTTAACATCTCCCTTCAAGTCAAGCGGCAAATGTTGCAGGCGTAGATTTGTGCACAGTTTGAGGAACTGGGCTGACGAGAGTGGCTTTTTGTCAAAGCATCTGCAAGTTGATCTTGACCTGAAACGAATGCCACCAGAAGGGATTTGTTAAGGACCCGATTTCGAACAAAGTGGAAATCGATTTCAACATGTTTTGTACGCGAGTGAAAGGCTGGATTTGATGACAAATAAATGGTGCTCATGTTGTCACAGTAGATCATTGGAGCTTGAGGGAGATTCACGTGTAAGTCATAGCACAAATTTTGAATACAAATTACTTCAGTTGTGGAATTTGTAACTGCCTTAAACTCTGCTTCAGTGGAGGATTATGCGATTGTTGGTTGTTTCTTGGATGACCAAGAAATTAATTTCTTGCAGAGAAACACACAATATCCACGGTAGAACGCCAATCATCGGGGCATCTCGCCCGATTGACGTCGGAAAAAGCAGTGATCTAAGGGTGGAAGATGGTGTCAATTGCAAACCAAGTGTTAAGGTGTGTTTAAGGTAACGAGGAACTTGCTTTATCGCCTACCAATGAGGGACGCGAGGGGAGTGCATAAATTGACATACTTTATTCAATGTAAAAGTTCGATCAATGAACCAATGGAGCTTCTATAGAGAGTAGGATTCTCAAACGAGTTACCGGAAAATGCACTTAATTTATCTGTGGTAGACATTGATGTTTTAATTGGTTTTGCGAGATGCATGCTAGTTCGTAGAAGAAGATATGTAATGTATTTCTGTTGTGTTAGAGATAGACCACTAGAATTGAATGTAGCTTCAACACCCAAAAAGTAATGCAAACAACCGAGATTAGTTATAGGAAAATCAACTCGTAAAGCAATGATGAGTTCTGAAATATATGAGGATGAGGAACCAGTGATAAGAAGGTCATCTACATATACCAAAACGTAAATGGTGCATGTCTTTGATGACTGTATGAAAAGAGATGGATCCGTCGAAGAGATACAAAAACCAAGATCAACCAAATGTGAGCTCAATCTGGAGTACCAAGCTCTTGGTGATTGGCGAAGGCCATAGATGGCCCTATGTAACCTGCAAACATGAGAGGGAAATTTAGGATGAGTGAAGCAGGACAATTGAGACATGAACATTGTTTCATGTAATGGTCCATGCAAGAATGCATTTTGAACATCAAATTGCTGAATATTCCAGTGATGAGAAAACAGTCAGAGCAAGAAACAATCGGACAGTGATAGCCTCTACTACTAGGTTGAATGTTTCCTCAACATCGATGCCGAAATGTTGAAGAAATTCCTTGACGACGAGGCAGGCTTTTCGTCGTTCAATAGAACCATTAGCCAACCACTTTGTTCGAAAATACCATTTGCAGGTTACAACATTTGAGGCTTGAGAAAAAAGAACCAATGACCAGGTATTGTTACCAATTAAAGCATGAAACTCTTTTGACATTGCATCTCGCCATTCAGAGTATTTTTTAGAAACACTGTAAGAAGTAGGAGTTTTGGGGATATCAAATTTGTCACTAAAAAGGCTCTTGGTAGAGGCCACCTCATGGTACCGTCTATAAATTGTCGTGGTCAAATAGACCATGTCCGTGACCTTGTCACCATTGAATGTGCAAGTGGCTGAGTAACAAGCATGGAAGAAGACTGCGCTTGTGATGATTGAGCTAGAGAAGATAAAGATGATGGGCTTGGAGAAGTGGGAGGAGGGCCTAAAATGGAAGGTGAATTTGATGGTCTATTTGGCTATGAAAATGGAGATTGTTGGAGATATGGAAGAATAACATAAGTGGGCTCAGACCTGGATTGTGGAATGTTAGAATTTTTAAACGAAAATGATAACTCATTGAACCTAACATCAATAGATGTACAGACTCAGTCTGTCGGTATGTGATAGCAACTATATCCTTTATGTCCTGCATTGAAACCCAGAAAGATACACTCAATTAATCGATAATTGAACTTGGAAGAATTGTAGGGAGTAGTGAAAGGCCAACGGGCACAACCAAAAGTCCTTAATGATTTATAATCTGGATGTTTGTTGTTAAGCAATAAATATGGTGAGTGATTATTTAGTAAATCGGATGGTAAAATATTAATTAAATATAGTGCATGCTTGAAAAGTTGAGATCAGAATATAAGTGGTATAGAACGCATGTGCTAGGAGAGCTAATCCAGCATTGACTATATGTTGATGTTTTCGCTCTACAATTCCATTTTGAGTATAATTATGTGGGCAAGTAATTCAGTTGACAATTCCATAAGAGGCGAGAAACTGAGAAAAAGACCTAAACTCACCCCCTCCAATTTGATTGAAACTGTTTGATAGAAGCCTTATATTGAAGTTCAACAAAACTCTTAAATTTAACAAAAACAGAGAAAGCATGATATTTAGATTGTGAGAGAAACAACCAATTGTAACGAGTGCAATCATCAACAAACCTAATATAATATTGATAACCATCTTGAGATACATGAGGGGAACGTCCCCATAAATCAAAGAAAATTAGTTGCAAATGTTCAGTAGATTTTTGAAGCCTTGGAAGCGTAGGTTGATGATGGGATTTAGCCTTAGCACATACATCATAAAAAGGAGATGTTATTGAAAGATCAAAAGCCAGCTTATGCTACTACAAGATAGAACAGACAAGTTTCAGGGATGCATGTCCAAGCCGTGAGTAACATGTGGAAACAGAGATGATAGTTGTGAGAGCTGAAGGTGACGATGGAATGAAGGAGTAGAGGCCATTATTGACGGTTCTGCGAAGGAGGGGCTTTCCCGAATAGCAATTATTAACACAAAAAGAATCAGAAAAGAATTCAAAAAATACATTATTATCAGTGCAGAATTGTCGAACCGAAATGAGATTCAACTGGAATGAAGGAACGCATAAGATATTATTAAGAAGAAAAGTGGTAGTTGGAGAAGAGAGAGAGAGAGAGGCTGAACCAAAATGGGAAACAGGGACAACACTACCATCCCCAATACGCAGATTTTCCTCGCCATGATAATCAACCACTAGGAGATTCAAGTTGGACAGATCATTGGTTACGTGATTTGTTGCAGCAGTATTCGGATACCAAGCTGAATCTAGGACATAATTTGTAGAGGAATAATGTACAGCAATAGGAGTAGGGATTGTATAAGCTTGATTGAACCTATAGAGGCAAGTGAGAGCACTATGCCCTTGTCGATTGCAAACCTGGCAGACAATACAATTAGTGGATGAAGTATATGAACCATTTTCATTGCCACTTGTCGATGGACCACGACCACCACGATTACCGCAACCACCGCATCCTCTGTATTGATTACGTCCTCCACGGTTTGGACCTAGACCACCTCGTTGTGCAAATTGCTGTTTGGTAGTATAGATGGCTGAGACCTCGTTCGAGAGAAGACTTGTATGAGAATGGTGCTGGAGTCGCTTCATGAGCAAGGAGATGACCCAGCAATTCATCGGGAGTGATTAGTTTGATGAAACAAGAGGATCGTAATCAGGTCCTAGACCAGTCATAAGATAAGGAACAAACTCTGATGGAGGCAGAGGTCGTCTCGCAGCAGACATTGTATCAGCCAATGTCTTAGCTTTGCGATAATACTCGAATATTGAGTCTGCACCTTTCTTGAGTGAGGCCAGCTGAAACTGAGTTTGGAGAAGACAAGCTTTAGATGTCAAAGCATAGGTAGACTCAAGTGAGAGCCACACAACACGAGCTGAAGCACAAGCTGCACAACCAACAACATGTGCCATAAGCGGCTTGGAAAGAGATGAAATTATAACTGACATAACCAGTTGATCCTGTTGCATCCAAGATTCATAGGTAGGATTAGGAGTGAAGTCGTCTAGTAGAGGTTTAGGGGAGGAAAAAGAGCCATCGACAAACTGATAAAGTCGTTGGCCACAGAGGTAGGGAACCAATTGGATTTTCCGCAGAAGCTAATTATCTGAGGTGAGTTTGACAGAAATAGTGTGATAAACATTTGGTTGAGGAGGGTTGGGAATGGGATTTGAAGTAAAAGGATTTGAATGGGCGAAGGAATTTGTAGGAGAAGATGGAGAGGAAGGAGACGACACCACTAGAGGTTAATCTTTAGTGGCTCTCTGATACCGTGTTGGAGAAATACGTGGTTGTATTTTCATTCATGATATAGCTATTACAATCGGTTGCCTTATTCTATGGAATGAAATATTGTTACAAAGAGAATATTTGCAGCAGAGTGCATCTAACGCGAAGGATGGGTTATGTAACAGCATTGTGGTCCTGAGACGTTGAGCTGACACTAGGTGAAAAATCAATAATATCCTTAACAAAAGTGCAAAAGGTGTCTCGAGAGAGGTAAAAACAAGGTTGGGGTTAAACGAAGAGATCAAAAAGAGGGCGAAGGCCATGCCCAATAAAATTTCAAAGGTAAAAAAATATTTTTTTCAGTGCATCAACTCAGTATAAAATAATTTTTATTCCCCATGACTCTGCCGTGATGCGAGCAATCTAGTGGTTGCAATGAAGGCATAAGAAAATGGGAAGAATACATGGACACAGTGGCGAACCCAGGATCTAAGCTCAGCCCGGGCGGACGTTGACTAGTCAACGTTGACCAGTCAACGTCGACCATCAGCGTAAGAACAATGTCGTTTATTAATATTTGATTATATAATATTAAAATTATTCAATATATATGTAAACGCACTAAAACGTAAATATATAT